AGAAAGACAAAGGATCTGGGAAACAGATGCTCCAGCATAGGAGAGCAAGCAGGGAATTCCAGAGATGAAGGGGAAGAGACATCCCTGGCAAGGTGTCAGCTATTTAGCAGCCCAGAGAGCAAACAATCTAGACTGGAAAAGGGAAAAACCCTGAGGACAGTCTCCAAGCCTGCAATGAAACTGATAGATTACCTGAAGTGTTTGAACTGATATGGAGGAGACTTATAGCTCCATTATAGAGTTGAGGATGAATTAATGAAAAATACATAATAAATACTAAGCCCCAAAAAATGGAAAGAAGAGGAAGTAGTAACTGTAGTTCCAGGGAAAACAAGAAATTGTATAAGAAAGGAAATTTGATTATACTGTGCCTGTCAAGTGAGGCTCTGCATGGAATCTGAAGGAAAAGAAGAACCACAGACTAGAAGTTACTATGAGGACCACTCTTTACGGCCGTAGGGAACGCCTGCCTGAGGACCGTGTGTATAAGGCCCTCGACATCATTTGGTCTGGCCCTGCCAAGGAGACCGCAGGTGGGACTCAAAATTCAATAAATCTAGGAGCTTTTTTCATAGCTAATTTTTTTAAAAAAATATACCTTTATTGATTTCAGAGAGAGGAAAGGAGAGGGAGAGAGAGAGATAGATGGAAACATCGATGAGAGAGTCATTGATCGAGCCCGCAACCCGGGCATGTGCCCTGACCGGGAATCGAACCCCGATTGCCTGGATCCTAGGTTGACGCTCAACTGCTGAGCCACTCCCGGCTGGGTTTCATAGCTAATTTTTAAGTTGATAATTTTGTATGGCTCTCGAATGATGTTATCAATATCCAAATGGCCCTTGGCAGAAAAAAGGTTCCCCACCCCTGCCTTACAAGTTCAGATGGAGGGAGGGAGTGGAAGAGATGCTTGTTGTCTGAGGCAGATTTCAGAACTCCTGGACCTGGCTGTGCAGCAGTACAGATTGCTGGTGAGGCTCAGCCCCTGGTCGTGCCCGGAAGGAGATGGTCACCTGTCTAAGGTAGAGAGTACCTGATTCCTTTAGACTGAGTTAAGTGCGCTTCCTGTTGTTTCATTGCTTTCTCACACTGTATTGTAATTGACTGGTTTTCTCTGTCTTTCCCACTAATCTGTAAGGTTTTTGATGGCAAACACTCTTTTTCATTATCTCAGCACAGCACCTAGCATGTAATATGTGCCTGATATTTGTTGAATGAGTAAGTAATAGTGGAAAAAAGGTGAGGATATGGTGTAAGTTTTATGAATAAAGATACTGAGCCCAGGCGGGTGTGGCTCAGTGGTTAAGCGTCGACCTAGGATCCAGGCGATCGGGGTTCGATTCCTGGTCAGGACACATGCCCGGGTTGCGGGCTGCAGCCCATCAATGACTCTCTCATCATTGATGTTTCTGTCTCTCTCCCTCTCCTTTCCTCTCTCTGAAATCAATAAAGATATATTAAAAAAAACAAAAAAAAGATACTGAAACTTCTGAAGATGAGGTCAAGGAGGAGGAGTGGTGAAAGTCATCAAATTAAGTCCAAAAGTGTTTGAGAAATTTGTAGAAAAACTAAATAAGAATGCAGAGAGACTAGAAATGGACTTGAGGAAAATGGGAAGTGTCAGTATGGAGCAGTGATCTTTCTGGACTGTTTATTGCCTTCCGAGATGGTGAGGAACAAGAGACGGTGTGAACCCTGGTGAAGGAGACAGTGCCTTCTGGGAAACAGTATTTGAATTGGTGCTTTAAGGCATGAGTAGGAATTTGAAGTGTACGGGTTGTGGAAGACCAGGGCTTCTAGGCAAGAGGGAACATTATATATGAAGGCAGAGAGGGTTGAGGAGTTGGTGTGTGCTTCATGGGTGAGTGAGGCAGGGCAGATAAAAAAGATTACTTAGGCAAATGAATTGAACTCTCCTTCAGGATAAGTGATAGAGTGCCATTGAAGAAGTTCAAGGAGATGATGTAATCAGATTTGCAAGTTACCAAGTCCACTTCATGGGAGTGGTTTAGAAGATGGATTGAAATGAGATGGGACCCAGAGCACTAAGACCAGTGAGAAGGCTTTTATAGTAGTGAGATTTAGAGAAGCTCGCTTTGACTCTGGCAGTTAAAAGGGATTGGAAGGGGTGATGGATATGAGAGCTATTTAGGAGGAAGAGGCACAGTACTTGGTGATTAATAGGATGTGTGGAGTTAAGGAAGGAAGATGGAGAATCTTGTACAATTTTAGGTTTCCTGTTGGGGATCCTAGTGAATGTTGGTACCATTCTCAGACATAGGAGATATAAAAAAGAGAGGAAATTTGAGGCAAGGTGGTTGGTCCTATTGGGCCATCCAAGTGGAGAAGACTTGTATGCAAAAGAAGACTGGAGTTAAAAATTTGGGAGCCAATATAAGAAGGTTATTGAAGCTGTGGGCTTTTTGATTATTTCTTCTCATTATTGTGCTAATTAGAAATTGAAGAGGATCGTTAAAGATGAAGGATCAAGAAAATTTTATAATGTAGTATACTCTGAAAATAACCATTTTTGTCTTTGAGGAAATGATTTAGGCTTGAGGTTTCAAGTAACTTAATAAAGTTCAATTTGTCACTTTTTTCTAATTAATAATGTATAACATTTATACAATTCAGTGCATAAAATGCACAGTTCAGTGATTTTTTTCATGCATGTGTACATTCTTATAACCACAATGAAGATCAAGATCATCTCTAGCTCCTCGTAAGGTTCCCTTGGAACATTTTAACCCTAGTTTTTATTCTAGAAGTTTTAGATCACTATGTAAACTTAGGATGGGAGAATCCTCCCTCTCCTTGGTAAAGCCCTATAAGCTGCAGAATCAGAAGTCCATAAGAGAAGAATAAAAGTCAAAACCTGGTTTTCCACCTTGGGCCCACCATGATGGCTCCCGCAAAAAAGGGTAGCAAGAAGAAGGGCTGTTCTGCCATCAGTGAGGTAGCCGCAGAGAAGTAGAACACACCGTCAACATTCACAGGCACATTTGTGGAGTGGGCTTCAAGAAGTGTGGCCCTCGGGCACTCAGAGAGATCTGGACATTTGCCTGAAGGAGATGGGAACTCCGGAGTGCATATTGATACCGGACTCAACAGAGCTGTCTGGGCCAGAGGAATAAGGAACATCCCATACCGTATCCTGGTGCGGTTGTCCAGAAAATGTAATGAGGAGGAAGAGTCACCAAACAGGTTCTGTGCGTGGGTCACCTGTGTACCTATCCCCGCTTTCAAAAACCTACGGTTAACGCAGAAGAGAGCTAACTGCTGATTGTCAAATAGTTACAAAACTGCAGAACAGCACCACCAACATCAATTCCGAAAATACCGAAATCTGGTTTGAATTTCCCAGAATGCAGTATGTGTATTATTCTTGCTTACACTTCCTTCAGTTTTTATTTTTAATGGAAATAAAGTAAACCCCTCAATTTTCTGTCTTTTTTTGAAATAGCCTCTTAATACTATCCCGTCTTCTCTAGTATTTCTGAGAAATGAAAACTGAGGAGAGGATGGCAGAGCTGGAAATCTTGTTTTATCTTGGGTTTCATTATGGTGTGTATCTGTGTTACTGTGGCCTGTCTTCCAGGTTATTTGCTCCTATAAGAAATGGGCTGTAGTTTGCTAAGGTGGGAATAGTATCTCTCTCCTTGATTACATCTGTTTGATATTTTAATTATGCCTTTTGGGGAGTTTTTGTAGGACTGACAGACTATCCTGTTTGTGGAGGTAGCTCACTCTGTCACCTACCTTCCTTTATTGATCAGTAAACTATCCGGAATAGTGAAATAGTGCTTTTTTTTTTGAAAATTTGTATTGAGAAATAAACCATAACATAAAAGAAAAATATACAGTTAAAAGAATAATTATAAAACAAATACCCATATACCTACTACATAGGCCAAGAAATAGAATGTAACTGTACCCCAGAACCCACCCTGTGCCTCTTCCTGATTGAATCCCCTCCCTCCCTCTATCCCTCAGACATTCACTAGCCTAAACGTTGTAATAGTCACTCCCTTTTCTTTACAGTTTCATAAACTATATATAGACATCAGTGTTTACATAAACACATATATATGGTTCTAAAATGTATTTTGAACTGCATATTAATGGAATTATACTGCAAACATGCTCTTTTGTGACTTGCTTCTTTCACCCAACATTGTGCTTTTGTGACTCATCTAGATTGAGGTATGTTGCTATAGTTCATTCATTTTCATGCAGGATAATATTCTGTTGTGTGCAAACACCATGGCCTATTTACCGATTTTACTGTTTATAGATGCTTGTCTCTGTATTTTTTTTCTGTTAAAAATATGCTACTAAAATATTTCTTAGTATGTGCAAGAGTTTCTCTAGGGTATATACCTAGAAGTACAGCTAGTCATTTCTACAGTAAATACACATTCAAGTGTACAACACAATGGCAAACTTTGTAAAAGTGGTTGTACCAATTGTCCCTCCCTCCAGGAATGGATGAGAGTTGCTATTGCTTTGCACCCTTGTCAATACTTGGTATTGCCAAATTTTTAAATTTTAACCAACCTGGTAGTTATGAGCTAGATTAAATTAAAACTCTTTGTGGTATTACTTTGCATTTTTTCTGATTGACACGAGATTGAACATCTTTTTAGGTTTAGAGCCATTTATGCGTCCTCTCCAGTGACACTCATACTCCGTTATTTTGTAAATTTTCCTGGTAGGTTGTCTTTTTCTTATTGATTCACAGCAATTCCTTATTATATTCTGGATGCTAGTCCTTTTTCACAGTATTACGAGTTAAAAATCAACATGCTTCTTTTTTTATTCTGCAAATCTAGACACCCAAGGAGAGATAGATGCCTTGAACAAACCTAGAGAGTGAAACCATTGGCTAGGCTTCTGTACTAGGCACTCTAGTGAAAGGGCCATGTGGTCAAGGGCAGGCCCCTGCACTTGCGGGTGAGTTACATCTGGCCTCTGCTGACCTGTAATGCTTGCCTTTGCAGGTGGAACAGGAGGATTTTGTAATGGAAGGGCATGGCAAGACTCCACCTCCTGGTGAAGAAAGCAAACAGTGAGTCACATTTTATTTAAAAAGGGTCTTATTACAGATCTTCAAAAGCACTTTGGATCAGCATGCTGAGAGCATGTTTGCAGGGATGTGTATGTTGGGCACATCGTGGAACTCACCAGTTGCTTTGGTGGCTGTTAATGCATTGCTTCTATTTATAGACAGACTAACTGGAGGGACAAGAAAGTTGGCTTTGTAGTTCTTCACACTTGACTAATCAAAATTTATGTTACACTTTAGCAAAGGCTTTAAGGCTCAGGATGTTCCAAATGGAACTAATTCAGTCTGGTTGATTTCCAAAGAAAGCATAAAATTGTGTATCCTTTTCTTAGCAATGTCTTTATGAAGTGATGAAATTAGTAGGCTGTTTTCCTGCATTCCAAGTGTGAATTTATTTGAATGGGACTTCCTGAAATTCTATTTCATTGAGTTATTTATACTTCTCATCTTTGTTTAAATCACAAATTGTTTCCCTAACGGAATAGGAATTATAAATAATGTAACTTAGCCAGCATTCTGAATAATTCAGGATCTCTCCCTTCCTGACTTAAAAGTGGTTAAGTTTTAAATCTGAGATTGTGAGTCCTTTGGGTGGCAGTGAGTAGATTTTTTTTTTTTGATTTTTTTTTGCCCTCTGTCACAGAACTTGAAAAATTGTGTTGCAGAGCATACTGGTATTTCATTTGTCCTTTTAAAGAAAAAGATAGTTAAGACTGGCTTAAAGGCCTGGCTGGCGTGGCTCAATAGTTGAGCATCGACCTATGATCCAGGAGATTATGGTTCGATTCCCAGTCAGGGCACATGCCCGGGTTGCAGGCTCGATCCATCCCCAGCAGGGAATGTGCAGGAGGCAGCCAATCAGTGACAAACACCAATCATTGATGTTTCTCTCTTTCTCCTTTCCTCTCTCTCAAATCAATAAAAATATATTTAAAAAAAAAAAAAAAGAGAAAAAAAAAGACTGGCTTCAAGGACTGACATAACTACTATTTTTTTATTTAGATAGTAGTCTCCTAAGTTGAATGGTTTAGTGATTCATGGAATTTACCCAAAATCTGTAAAAGGACTCCGTTCTCTCGCCTTTTTTATTTCCTGGAAAATAGTTTTGGTTTGCCTTATGAAAATTATGTCTTTGCAACCTTAGGAATGAATTATGCAGAATAGCTTTGCTGCCACGTGGCCAGGTTCATTAAAGGAAAATGTTCATCTCTATTTGTTGTGAATGGAAACCAGGATATTTCCACAGCTGGTTCTATTTGCTAACCTGACAGTTTTAAAAATAGCTTACAATATAAATCCTAGCTTTGCTGTATTCTATCAGATGCCTTATATTTTGCATGGGCTGATGGAATCAATTAATCTTTAACAAATTAGAATACCACACATCTAGTCCCAGTGGAGTTACAAGAACACTTCCAGTGCTTCTTTCTGCCCTTCTGCCCACTCCCCAAATCCTACACTCTGGTTGGAGGTCTTTATAATATAAAAATCATAGCTCCCATTTGACAAGGGTTTTTTGTACACAAAATAATTTTCTCATTACAGTTTCTCCATTTAATTCAGAGATCAGGGTAGCTAACTTGCCCATGGTAATGCAGCTTGAAATGGGAGTTAGGATTTGAACCCGGATCTTTCTGACTTTAAAATGTTTTATAATATCTCTTAAACACAAATCCTTTGCCAACGTTGAGAGCTATGTTCCTGAAAAGTACTCTGGTTAGTAAAATGCAGTTGTCAAGATCAAAGTCTCATGGATAAGAGGGAATTGAGGGGAACAATAAAAATGGCATTAAGCCTGTTTTTAAAACACAGATGAAAGTTCTGTTCTCTGGAGGGTATCTATTTCTCAAACAAACCAGTCTTTATCTTTAAAAACCTGCTCCAGTAACCCCTCTCCTGAATCAGCTTCTTCAGGTATTCAGGAAACATTGCTAAGGGCAGATTCCCCCGCAAGTTTTATGTTATACAAACTGGGCTGCTTTTGGAGAGAGCTTCAGTCAGCCGCAGCGGACCTGAAACATCATGTGTTATGTCCTTACCTTCTCCCTTGTCTTGTATTCACACGTCCCGTACTGCCTTTTCACATGAGTCCTGTTTAGTTTTAGTTTTGTTTTTCTGGGCTTGGTCTGCTATCATACATCGAAATAATAAAGCAAAACTGAATCTTCTCACTAGGTGTTTTTCTCATAGACCTACCCACCTCTTCTGTGGGAGTGGGGAGGAGGTGCTGCGTTCTTGCTTGAGGCAACAGAAATATATATATGTATATATATGTTTGTGTGTGTGTGTGTGTGTGTGTATATATATATTTGTACGTCAGAACTGTAGTCAGCAAAGGATGATTGAATCCTGAATTGGAGGATCTACATTGTAGATCCTAAAAGCGACACATTGCTGAATGACTTAATGGAAATTCCCATTTATTCTTTTATTTGTTTTACTTATATAAGTAATACATGATTGTCATAAAACATTTAAACAGTAAATGTGGATTTAGAAATAAAAGTGAGATTCTTCTGTTATGCTACTTCCCCTCCTAATCTTCGTAAGTATTTTCTGTATATTTTAAAACAATTCTGACATACTTCTTCTGAAATGTGCTTTTTAAATTTGACATCTTTCGCAGACTATTTCATTATTTTAAACATCTGTAAAACATTCTGTTGAATTGATGTACTATACTCATTCTCCTCTAATAGATATTTTGGTGGTCTTCACTTCTTCGATATTACAAATAATATTTATATATACTTTAATCCTCACCCCAGGATATGTTTTTATTGATTTGAGAGAGAGAGAGAGAGAGAGAGAAACATCGATTGATTACCTCTCCTACCCACCCTGACCAGGATTGGACCCGAAACCTAGGTACGTGCCCTGACGGGGGATTGAACTCGCAGCCTTTCTGGTGTGCGGCACATCGCTGCAACCAGCTGCGCCACCCGGCCAGGGCACCAAGAGTATTTTGTTGAACACCCCTTGCTCTTACGTCTTTATACACAGATACATTTCTGTAGAACAGATTTCTTAGAGTTGGAGCCGTTTGGTTCATGGGCATGTGTTTTTTACGTGTAGGTAGCTGCTGTCAAATTACCTTCCAAAAAAACCAACCTGTGTTCATTTCCATCAACAGTATATGAGAGTTCCCATTTCTCCACACCTTTGATGACAATAAAATTATCATTACATTTTTGCCACTTTAATATTGTTTTAATTTGCATTTTTTGCTTACTAATACGATGGAATATCTTTTGTTAGTTTATTGACCATTGATTTTTTTTTCTTGTGTATTATTACCATTTTTTTCTTTTCTTTTTTAAATTTTTGTTTAAAATATTACAAATGTCCCTTTTTCTCCCCAATGACCCATTCCATCCTGTCCCATCCCCCTCCTTAATCCCTCTCCCCACCATTGTCCATGTCCTTGGGTTGTGCATATATGCATATAAGTTCTTTGGCTAATCTCTCCCCCTCCACCCACCCGCTCTCCTCCATCCCTCTGACATTCGTCAGTCTGATCCATGATTCCATGTCATTGAATCATTTCTGTTCATCAGTTTATTAAATTCTTTAGATTCCACATATAAGTGAGATTATGTGATGTTTGTCTTTCTCTGCCTGGCTTATTTCACTTAACATAATTTTCTCTAGGTCCATCCATACTGTCCCAAAGGGTACAAGATCTTTCTTCTTTACAGCTGCATAGTATTCCATGGCATTTTTCTTTTGGATTGTTTATTTTGATAGTTTGGTAGGAGCCCTTTATAAAGTATAGATATTAACCTTTGTCTGCTGAGATGTTTTAAATATTCCTCCCAGTCCTCCTCTTTTAACATTGGGGTATCTTTCATAGTAATATACATTTTACATTTTTATGTAGTAAAATCAGTCAGCCTTTATGGCTTCTATGTTTTGTGCTTGATTAGAGAAGTTTTCCCTACCGTAACATGATGAAATATCCACAATTTTTCTGCTTTATTTTTTACATTTAGACCTTTTTTTGTGTATGGTGTGAGGCAAAGATAAATCTAACATACTTTTTCTAAATTCGTTTGCAGAATGGGTCTCATTCATTGGCATTAGCTTATATGAATATCCTGTTTTACTTATGGGGAGCTGAGGGAGCACAGGGGTAATACAACTTTCTCAAGGTCACAAAACAAATTCTTGTAAGGATTCAGTCTAAAGTTACTCTTGTTAGCTGACTTGTGCCACTTTCTCTATTTTTTCATTTAACATTTTTATTATAAGTTCTAGAAGTCTTGAAAAAATTATTTTATTTCCATGATGTTTACTTTAATGAAACTAAGTTCTTTTAATAGGTAGATTAAGGTGGCTATGCATGCAGAATGTTTTCTTGAAAAGTAATTCACTTGATACTGAAAAATATCAATGCCTAATGGTTAATATTTAGACCAGTTGTGCTGAATTCTGGTGTATGTGTAGATAAGATTTAGTAGAGTGTGTAACTTTAAACACCTTGTCTGTCTGTCTGTCTCTCTCTATCTACCGTTGCTTTTTAATGAGGTTTATTTACTAATAGTATATCTAATATAATCACTTTTCTGAGGATATTCCAGTTTACCAGCTACTGTAGCCAATCAGCAAGCTAAGTTTATTGCCATATAATTACTATATTAAACTCACACAGTATTAATCACACGATGTGTTTAACACAGGGGTAAATATAAAACTATTACAGCTTTTCAAAAAGGAGCAGGAGCAGATACTTGCCCATAGATTGTGTTTGATAATGCTTATTGAAAGCTCATTTCAGATCACATGTTTCTTCCTAGGCAGGCTTTTGTTTTGGTTTTATTTATAATACCAGTGATGGTCAAGATGTTTGTGGGTAGATTCTTTGTTATAAACTCTTTTGAAGTTGAATATCAGTTTTGGTATATTAATGAGTTTGGCCTCTTTTGGATCTCCTCTCCTCCTTTATTTAAATATAACTTACAAACAAGTCTGAGCTTTAAATCTCTGTGCTGAAATTTACTCAT